TACTGAACAAAAGATACATATGAAGGAATTACTGATTGCTTTCTTATTTACCCTGGATATAATTTTCATAGCCATCACTAACTCATTTACAAGACAGCCCAACTAAGATTTTTGAATTACTTGTAATATTGGTGTATTCTACTCTTTCTCCTCATGGCTTGTAATCACAATTCTGTCTAGACAGTAATAATAGCAAACATTTATGAGACTCTTTTTATATGACAGATACTTTTCTAAAAGTTTTCATAGTAGCTCATTTAATCTATACAATAATATGAGGTACTATCACATTTCCCACATCACAGATGAGGAAACTGAAGCATAGAGAAATGAAGTCTGTTGAAAGCCATCTACTAGGTGCAGAATCAGAATGTAAAGCCAAGAAACCTGGCTCCAAACATCTATGCTCTTTATCACTGCCATATATCTGTTGATAACAAGCCTTCCTGTTCCTTTATCTGATTTACTTCTATTTGTTCTTCAGAGTTCAGTTAACATCTCTTATCATCAAAATAAATTCTCCAATTCTTCAACCTGGGTTAAAACATTACTACATACTTCATGTTCCCAAGGATAGTAGCTATTATCACATTTTAATATTCACATTAATATTAATAACTCCTCAATTGACAATAATTTCCTTAAGATCAAAATTTCAACTTGTTCTCCATACACTGTCAGCATAAAATACTGACAGCATAACATTCAGAGCCTGGCGAATGGCAATTAACCAATACATATTTATTATATAGATACAAGTTGAATGACAATACTGAAGAACAACTGGAAGACCCTTTAATACTGCAGTGGTTCATATGGGTTTAGATTTAAACAGAAGTAAGCTCCAGTGCTGTTTCTCACATTTTCTGACTGGGACCTTGGACAATTACTTATGTAATTTGTTTATGTCATTCATATAACTTACTGATGTAGCTTTCATCATTTCTATATCACTCTACCCTCATATATAAGGAGAGACAAAAATAATGTAACTCCCAAGTTTCCTTGAGAGTGCATAATGAGATAATGCACATAAACCACTTAGCATCATTTATGTTAGAATAAGTAATTGATAAATAATAGCCTTTATTATATCTCTCTGTGCTTAAGTCCACTATGCACACCAAAATTATCAGTAATATTTTGGTTGAAAAAGAATAATGTATATATGGACTTTTTGGAGAAACCATCCTAAGTTGGAGGAAGGAATAAGAGAAACTGTTAAAGGCCTGGAAAAAATTAAACAGTATAATATTTTGTATGGAGAAAAATATAATATTTTGCCTGAGAAAAAGATAACTAACAGGACAATGGCATGGTATCTTATTGTTATATTTTCGTATTCACCAGCTCCATCAAAAATTAAATAGATAAACAATTATAAAGGATCAGATTTTAAATAGATCATATTTTGGGTTTGAGGAGGTATAATACATTTCAGCATGAAAAAAAGAGACTGAAGTAGTCATGGAATATTTTGTCAAAACAAAATTTATTTCTATTTCTTTACTGCTGCCTAAGGGCAAAGATGCAGATCATTTTAATCTTTAAGATTTATTCCTATCAATCTCATTCTAATGTTAATAAGTCTATGACTGAAAACATCTATACCTTTAAAAGGGAGAGTTTTACTCAAAGAAGCCAATAAACAAGTCATCATTGTGATTTATTGCCAAAAACTTACATTTTAAAATTTACTCGTACCTTCTATTTTGTAATTTTGTCAAATTCTGGAAAATGAAACAGCAATATTCTAATGTGTTCCTCTTGTTATTTAATTCTAGAAAGAGTAAGCATAATGTTTATTAATAACCATGCTACAAGTACTGAAAAATCATTATGTCAAGATAAAATGAACCCCTCAAAACATTTCCAAATGCACATTTATTATCCCAGAGATTTTTCCCATAGAGAAATTTAACTTATTTTCTTTAATGCTCTATTTAAACAACTGCCCTTTCCTTTAGAGTTGATTTCTTGGAAAATGCCACCGGCTTTTGTGGAAGAGTCGAAGTGAATTTCCCAAGTGATGCTTGCCAATGGTGAAATAATTCCAGGAATTATGTTCTATAATGACACGGTATAAACCTGAGGAATCAATCTGCAAGATATTCTCTCTCCTGCATCTCTGCATGCTTGAATACTTCTAAAAAATGAAAGTAGATTGTCTTGGATATTTAAGTAGAGGCCCTGAGCCATCTGGAATTCCTGATAGTCTGCCAAAATAACAGTAGTTATTCATAATGGCTTTGGTTTGGGCAAAACAATTTAATTTTTTCAAATTGCAGCATTGAGGTTTCCCTCACCTTCTGGGAAATAGTCCTCATGGGAGAGAGGGGAGCAGAGCTACTAAGATGTCTCTGTTCCGGAGCCAAGATTCATGAGGATCACAGAGGCTCTAGATTTAAAAGAAAGAAGAAGAAAAGAAAGGAAGAAAGAAACGGAAAGGAAAAGGCAGAGCCTAAGCCTAGTAAGAGTCAAAATACCTACAGGAGTTTTTCTATCCTGTCTTGTGTGAATCTCTGGTAGTGATCAAAAGGACCTTCCAATCCATTTCTTCCCTGAAAAAGAAGCATTTCAATTTATCATTACAGCTAAGTTTTTGGTGGGCAAAAAGCAATAGATATGAAGGAGAAATGTATTATGAAATATATTTTATAGGAAAATTTTTGCCCCTAGTCATAAAGTTCATTTAATTTCCACCAAAACAACCCATATTTGTTCTCTAGCTATATTATATAGCAATAATAATCAATACTAAGAAGCATAATGGCATTACAATCATGTGAAGCAAAGCCCTATAAAGGCCCTCAATTGACAATTGGTGCTTCAAGTAACAAATAATGATTGACTGGATCTGAAGTTAAGTTCTCTGTAATTTAAATTGCTTGTAAGTTGTTTATTCGGGTATCATGTATTGAGTTCATGATTTCTCAACAGTCTCTTGTATACATTTCAAAATATTTTTATGGGCCCAGCATGCTTCTGCTACACCACTCTGCTACCTGCACTTCAAAATGATTTTTAGAACTGTTCTGTATCAGTCAAAAATATCACAATTCGTATATAATAAAAATTAAATCACTAAGCTAACTGCCGTAAATACACCTTATGTAATATAATAAGGGAAGGAGAATGGGTAAAAAGGAAGAAAATAATGATGGCTCGTAAAGTCATCATAAATGCAACTGGTCAAAGGCAATAGTTGGTATTTTCCTTTCCGTATTCCCCTAAGTCTCAACAATAACCTCAGTATCTAGAAATTGTTTACCTGGTAGGTGATGCAAACCTTCATTGATGAAGAAGGATCTGAGCCACTGTGGTCTTGCTGTGTTGAATTGCTATGGTTGTTCATTAATATTTACCATCTGACGTGTGGTATTAGGAGGCATCATGGAAAATTCCATGAGTTTCTCTTATACTCCTCCTTGTCTCCTTTCTATTAAATATTTTCCTGATCAGTCTTGTTACCCACAAGAATACAAAACATTTTGTTTACCTTTTGGTTCAGTGAAATGAATGCCCAGGGGACGGGAACAATCATGTCCCTGGCAAAATTATTCCTCTGTTAGGTGGTAAGTATACTAATTCAGCAAAATCCAATGTCATAGGGGCAGCAAGGAAAAAATAGTTAAAAATAGGTTAGTAGATTTTATAGTGGTGGTAAACATTCCCACTTTGACCCATTGTACTTTGATAAATACTCTGATTATGAAAGAAACAACCTCATGTATTCATTGTTCATGCATAGCCTAGACCATATCATGGATGACAAAAACCCAGTTTTATAACTGCTGGCAGCCAGTTGGTCCAACAACTGAGTCTTCAATAAGTGGTCTCACCATTCCTTAAGTTCATCTGATCCTGTTTGATGAGGCACATGATAGATAATTCTGTTGACTCTCATGGGTATGAGTGTACTGACTTCCTTCAGTTCTTGTAAAGTGACTGCCTTGCACCAAAACACTGTGCAATATGGCTTAATTGTGAATAAGGCACTGTTGAGTCCTCATAGGGTGGTATTAACAGAAGCAGTTTGAGCAAGAAGAGCAAAATGATACCAAGAGCAATGCCTGGGCAAATGGCTAGCTACTTCTCCATAATGGAAAAACCAATGCAGTCAGCCTGAAACATGATGACTGGCTGGTAGACCCAGGTTATAACATACTTATAAGGAACATTTTTTTAATTGTAGTAAAGACATTTAGAATGAAATCTACACTTTTAACAAAATGTTTAATGTGCAATACAGTATTGTTTGCTACAGGCACAATTTTATACAACACAACTCTAGAACTTACTCATCTTGCATAACTTAACTAAGTTGAAAACACTGAATAGCAACTCCCCATTTCCTTCTTCCCCTGATCACCTGGAAACCACTATTTTACTTTCTGCTTTCATAAGTTTATCTATTTTAGATATGTTATGTAAGTATAATCACACAGTATATATCCTTCTGCGATTGGCATTTTTCACTTAGCATAATATTCTCCAGGTTCATCCATGTTATCACTTTTATTGCAAGATTTAATTTTTAAGGCTAAACANATATATATATATATATATACACACACACACATACACACACACACACATTTTCTTTATCCATTTATCAGTAAATGGACATTTAGACTATTTCCACATCTTTTGATGACTATCATCAGAAAATTGCACACTTAGTATTGGCAGTTTCCAGGTCAGCCTATGTTGAGCCATCCATGTTTTTGAGTTCTCTCTCCCCAAGCATAGCTATATTATTGATGAGACCCATTGAGTGAGCAATGAGTGGATGGAAAAAATTCTGGAAGATAATGGATCATTGTCTTCACCAGATAACTGAGAACCTCCCACATCTGATGTAAATTACTGTAAGGAACTAATAGTTTGACTTATTTAACCATGAAGGTAAATAATGTGGGGAATTAATATTTTGACTGATTTTACCATTCAGGGAGGTCCATCTATCAAGAAAACACCTTGTCAATAATCTTTCATTGTTTTTGCTTCCAGGTTCTTTGTTATCCAGCTAAACCATTAGCCTACTACTCCTAAACCAGTGTAGATTGGCCGTTTGGCCCGTATCTCAGGCAATAGAACAACAAGGTAT